TCAGAATACGATTCAAATCCTCTACCTCCTAATGGCGAACGAACGATATTACATGTTGGACCTAAGATAACATGAGCTCCCTTCATTCTGGCTTCCTTTCCCATGAGAGCTCCTGCTTCTTCTAACAATTCCTTATTAAAGGTTGAAGCCATGGCTGTTCCACACGGGAACGAATTTGATGGTACACCGTTAAAATGGGTTGTACCCCTAATCCCATTTGGACCGTCTGAGGTTCTAATAGAAGGAATACCCAATCTTTTCACGGGTACCGTATGCCAGAAATCAACCCCTGCTAAAAGAGAGATCTTTTCTGATAATGTTAATTCTTGAATCAACTGTTCAATATCTAGTTTTGTCATACTGTGGTAGTTTGTAATATTTTTAATGTTTTGTTGTGAAGAAATCAAAGCCGAAAATGTTCAGGAAAGATATAGCTTTTGTATAATCTGAACTCAATATGTAGCAACGACGTTACAATATCCTGTATGGATAACTTATAATAACGAATTTGTTTTTAAGGTTATATAACCCCTTTTGATCATCATTACATTGTTACAGTTAGACGATAAGGGAAAACTTTTTTGAAGAGAACATGCTGTCCTTGTGTATATCACTAAAACAAGATGTACGTTAAGTGCATTACGTACTGCTTTTTATAAGCCTTTGATGAAAATGAAAATCGCCTGTGGATTGACATGTGTATAATTCAATCCATGAATTGATAAATATGAAATATACTACTACACCCTTAGAGAAATTCAGGATCGGCTAAGACAAGCCTAAGTGGTACGAAATGATGGTTCTCCTCTTGAATATCCTCTTGAATACTCGAATAAAGGCATGCAACCTTCAAGACATTGTGCACAGAAATAATATTTTGGGGAATATCCAAGCGAAGTATTATTCTAGTACTACGTGTTTTCTGAATTTCACTATTTGACCTTTTTATTTATATTTCTTCGTCAATACTGACACTTGCTACTCCAGATTTATATCTAATTACGGGGCTTCCTTCAACTTTAGAACATTAATTGTATCTGTTATGCGGAGTATAATTTCCTGGTTAGGGAACCTTTCCGAGAGAAATTATATACTCCGTATGTTATCTCCGTATCAACGGCCTAAATTCCTTTTCCGATTATTGAAAGCTTGCTTTGTCGAACAACGAAATGTTTACTATGCTCTCCGGATTTCATACGAAATGCATTGTTACACTGATTTTTGTTCACCCTGGGACTTTTTTTGTGGCCTCATTCCGTATTAGGAATACTTTCCGAGATGTAATCGCCTGTATCTACGCATCTTTTTCGATAGGAATTGTATTGACGTGTGAACCTCTTCAAGTGCGTATTGCATGATTATTCTACAATAGGCACTCAAGGTTGACCATATTCTAATCTTCCTATAGTTCTACAACATAATTGTTATCGTTGACATTCAACTTCTTAGAGTACAAGTATTACAAGGTTAGATCCTTGGCTTATGACTGAGTTATCTAATTACTGCAGGTCTCGATTGATGACCCCTAAACTCATGTAGTCGGAATAAATATGACTGTCAAGATTTTCTGGAATAGGGATGCTTTCCAAAAAAAAATTCTATTATTCGTGTTAATCCGGAGTGGGGATTTTTTAAAATGAGGAGCAACATGCATAAACCTTAATCTAGAGTAAATACAATTCAGTTATTGAATCATACCATACGTTTAGCTAAGTATTTGGAGATAACTGGTAATAATTACTCGAACCACTGTTCTATCCTTGTCTTGTCTTATCGTTCTTGAATTTTAAACAGGCTGCGAAATCATCTACTACTTAAAATTAAAAACTTTGAAATAATCAGCAACGTGTTGGGCATATTGGTAAGGCGATAGTCTGTTAGCATTAAATCTTATACCCTCTTGCATAACAATATTGCTCTACGACATTTATTTCTTTGTACGTCACACGGTTATGCAATTGATATTATTCACGGTTGTTTTTCAACAGCTGTCCAAGAATAATAATTTACATTATTACTGGGGTAAGTAACGTATTTGGAAGCTTTTCCGCCGACAGACTAACTAAGTAGTGAAATCTGACAATATGTTGTGAGGACGAGTACAACAAGCATTTTAGGCTTGGAGGGGTTCAGAAGAGGAGATGGAAATCATGTAGTTTAGTATTATATAAATGGATACAAATATTGTTAAAAGAGACAATATGAGCAATAAAGTAACCTCTACAGAAAAGTATTCAAAGTTTTGTTGCAATAACACTGTTTCAGATTTGATTATACTTGACAGTGATCAGATTTTTGTAGCGGTATAGACTTCTAATTAACTATATTTCTAGTTAGCATTACAAAAATAGGTTTTCCATTGAAAGGTACCAAGAAACATTTGGATTTAGTGGTTGAATTGAAACAAATGGCAACGGAAGACAAAGAATTCGGAATCGTTAGAACCGATGCTTCAAAACTATCTGACAAGATAGAAGAACAAAACAATATTCTCTCCAAAGGATCAGTTGATGATTATTTGTATGAGAAACGACCATGGTGGAAAGTAAATTACTTAGTACGTTTGAACTTCTGTATATTTTTAATCACTCTTACTTCTACTAATAATGGCTATGATGGTTCTATGTTGAACGGTTTGCAATCAGTTCTGTATTGGCCAGAGAAGATGGGTAATCCACAAGGTAGCGTTTTAGGTGCATTATCCAACGGAAATGTTTTCGGTGTTGTGCTATCGTTTGTGTGTGCATCCTGGTTGGCTGACAAGTTCGGCAGATGGCGGTGTATTTTTTTTGGGCAGACTATTACTATCCTTGGTTCTATTTTACAAGGCGTTTCAACAAATTATGGATTCTTCTTGGCTTCCCGAATCATTCTTGGTTTTGGAGTGGGTGTTGCAACTGTTTCTAGTCCTTCATTAATCTCTGAATTAGCATACCCAACACACAGGGCTACAGCTACAACATTTTATAACGTCTGTTGGTATTTAGGAGCAATAATTGCTGCCTGGGTTACATACGGAACATTAAACATCGAAAATGATTATAGTTGGAGAATTCCATCTTATTTACAAGCTGCCCTCCCATTCCTCCAAATTGCATTCTTTTGGATGGTCCCTGAATCTCCTCGTTACTTAATCGATAAAGATAGAATCTCTGATGCTGAAAAGGTCTTGAGAAAGGTTCACGCAGGCGGTGAAACTCATGAAAGAGCAAACGCTTTGGTTAGTTTTGAAATCGAAGAGATCCGAGCAGCACTCGAGTTAGAAAAATTATCCTCTAACTCTAGATATTCTGATTTTATCACCATGTCAACATTTAGAAAACGATTATTTTTGGCAGTTTTTGTTGCGGTTATCATGCAATTATCTGGTAATGGCTTGGTTTCTTATTATCTTAATAAAGTTTTGAATTCTATTGGTATTACTGATCCCCATGAACAATTGAAAATTAACGGTTGTTTAATGATTTATAATCTCGTCATCTCGTCGGTTGTTGCTTCTGTTGCCGGTAGATTTAAAAGGAGAACAATGTTCTTAATATGTACAATATTGATGTTGGTTTTCTATGTGATTTGGACGATATTGTCTGCAATCAACCAACAACGTAATTTCGAAGAAAAATCATTAGGTAATGGCGTTATTGCTATGATTTTTTTCTACTACTTGGCTTATGATATTGGTGCTAACGGCGTACCCTTCTTGTACATTACCGAAATCATGCCTTACAGCCATAGAGCAAAGGGCATGAATATTTTCACTGTGAGCCAAAATATTATTATTATCTTTAATGGCTTCGTTAATCCTATTGCCATGGATGCCATCGAATGGAAATACTATATTGTCTATTGCTGTATTCTTGTGGTGGAAGTTATTACTGTTTTCTTTACGTTCGTCGAAACTTCTGGTTACACTTTGGAAGAAGTAGCCAAAGTCTTTGGTGATGATCCAGGCCAAATCTTGATCCACCTTTCATCTGCACCTCCAAAGCCAGAAGTTGGGCACATAGAAACTGTTTAAGATAAACTTTTTTAGTTCAATCCTAATGACTTTATTACTAGCTTTGTTTTTCAATAATATATAAGATTGTATTCGAAATAGCGTCAGTACTGTTTTGCCATGTATAACAATCACGAAAGATGAACACACATGGTGCATAGTATTGTCATGGATATTAAGCTGTCTTTGATGAATAGAACATTGCAAATACTGGTTCTACTACTATGTACAATTTATGATCGTTTGTTATACTTGATGTGGATCTGTTTCTTCCACCCGAATTAACAATTTGTAATATAAATACAAATTCTAAGAATTCAAGCACAATGAAAATTCGGGAAAAAAACTACTAAGCACTACTAAGCACTTTTATATGGATGTATTGAATGTTAATGCGAAAAGTTCTAGCTTAGTATATAATCTGAAAGTATATCTCTATATTTAGTTTAGTTGAAGAGATCTTCAACCGATTTAGGAATGTTTAAGAGTTTAGTAAGGGGATCTGCGATTGCAATCATATTTAACCAATTCACCCATACAGGAAATATTTCCTCTAATGTTCTCACGAGAGTCGACCATTGACGAACTATATTATCAAATGGAAAACTATACGCTTTCCACGTGGTTCACACTTGTCTTAGACCGAGGACCATTAACAGTTGCAACCATTTCTGGAGTGTCTCCAAAAACTTGACAAACTTCTTCCAATGTATATCCAGAAGTTTCTGGCAAAAAGAAGTAGACGACTACTACTTCGATTACTATAACACAACAATATACAATGTAATATCTCCAGGAAATTGCATCCATGGCAACAGGGTTAACAAAACCATTGTATATCAAAATGATATTATAAATGAACAACATGAGGTTAATACCTTTCGCTCTTTGATTATAAGGCAAGATTTCAGTTAAGTATAAGTAAGGCAAGCCATTAGCACCCATGTTGTATCCCAAGTAATAAAAGAATATCATAGCAAGAACTCCTTTCCCGAGTGATGCTTGCTCAAAGTTACGCTGTTCATTAATTGCAGATAATACTGTCCAGATAACATACGTAATTAACATCAAAATTGTTGAAGTCATGAATAAAGTCCTTCTTCTAAATCTGTTAACCATGAACGCAACAGATACTGCCGTGACCCAGTTATATATCATCAAACTCCCGTTAATTTTCAACTGTTCTTTTTCATCAGTAATACCGATTGAATTCAATACTTTACTTAAATAGAAAGAAACCAAGCCGTTTCCAGAAAGTTGCATTAAAACTGCAATAAAAAAACAAATGAAAACACGCTTACGATTTGCGGGCGTCTTCAAGAAATCTAAATAGCTAGTATTTGCAGACATTTTCTCCATTTCCAATGCAGCTTGGATCTCTTCCACCTCAAATTTGACTAAGCCAATATCGGCAGGATCTTGAGAATTCCCGATGTGATATTTTATCAAGACTTCCTCAGCCTTGTCTATTTTTCCTTTACTTATATAGTATCTTGGTGATTCTGGGACCATCCAGAATAATGACAATTGAATGAGCGCTATGGACCCTTGCAAGTAAGAAGGAATTCTCCAGGAATAATCATTACTAAGGCCACTAGTTCCAAATGTGACCCAAGCTGCAATGGCAGCTCCAACATAATAGTTTGTATTGAAGAATGTAGTAGTGACATGTCTGTGGGTAGGATATGAAATCTCTGATATAAGTGCTGGAGAAGCGACCATTGAAAAAATGGATCCAAACCCTAAAATTATTCTTGATACTAGAAAGAATGCGTAATTGGTGGAAACTCCCTGAAGGACTGAGCCAATGATAATGACCGTTTGACCAAAAATAATAGCAACTCTTCTACCAAATTTATCAGCAACATAGGGAGCCATTGGATTCGCTAAAATAAAACCAAAAATGGTCCCATTAGTTAAAGCACCTAAAGTAGTACCAGTGGGGTTTCCCATGTAATCTCTCCAGTATGCCAACGATTGTAAACCGTTCAACATAGAACTGTCGTATCCCAAGGTAGTTGTTGACAACGAAATCAATAATACACATAAGTTGAGGTGACGTAAATGGGAAACTTTATACCATGGTAAGTCGCTGTATCTTAAATCGTCTCTATTATTGTTACTTCCTTCAACAGAGTAAACATCCTTCTCTGAGTGCTCTTCCGTTGTAAGCTGTTCAGCATTAGGTATATATTTAAGATCAATACTCATGATCTATTTGAATGCTATTCAAAGTTTCTTTTATTTTTTTTTTTTTGATACAGACATGCTAGTTATATAGTAGTAATACGTCGGATAATTACTTTAAGCGCATTTGACTTCTTTCCATCTGCTCCTCATCGTAATAGGAATGTGCCCCACTATGGATCAACTTTATTGTCGAGCTAGAATTTTCTCGGAAAGCATCCCTATTTCGGAAATCCTCCACATTCATGCTGAGGTTAGGAGTGATGGAGAGACCCGCAGTAATATTTAGTTATAAGTAGATTTCTATAAATTATACTCTCAGACCTTATTTGCATCAAGTATTTGCAGCCAGTTTTAAACATGATCTGTCTCGATATTTGGTAAAACTAAAATTTTTGGGAGGGTGAGTTTTCAGATAGTAACAAGGGCAAAGAGGTAAAATTATAGATTAGCATTAGAGAGAAAGGAAGTGAATATCTTTTTGTGAAACTTTCTGCTGTAGAATTTTTGAATAAGATTACATGTATTATATTCGGGCCGTATGGTTGCTGTAAAATAGCCGCCTATAGGTTACAAGTAGAGTTTACGAGTTAAGTCAACGACTTCATCGTCGCCGTTGAAAAAGAAAATGATAAACGTGAACGATCAACGGAACGCGTTGTACAAGGAAGCCGGCTTACATATTATAAGACTATCGGCCAACGTTATAAAGATTTATTCTTTAAAAAAGAAGATTTATTGAATTCAACTTTGCATTTATTCTATGGGTTTGTTCATTCCTTGTCTCAGTGATACTTCAACTTTTTTTTCGCGCAAGTCATCCTGTATCTGAAGTATACTCCTGCAAAATGAGAGGAAGACAGTTGATTCGATATGGAGTGTTTTTAAACAAGATTATACAACTCAGCCGAGCTCGAATATGTGAGTATATGAGATCTGCATGCCTTTTTGTCACTCTCACAGAATACCCTCATAGTAACCACTTCAAACGCGCAATTTCAAGAACTCTATTTTGTTCCTTTTTAACCCTAAGATACTTTAATTCATACGATATTTACTACAAAATATTTCGAAACTTAGGTATCATGTATTAATTATAATGTATCTTTTTCAACACTCACAAGGAATAGGAAATGTGGTCTGCAGTGAACGATCCGAGTAGGTCTTTCTCCTAGAGTCGCGTGGAGTTTTCTATTTCGGAAGAAAGTCCTAATCAAGAAATGGTCATACAACCTCTACAACTCTAAATGTATTAAATTGGAAGTAGATCCGCTATAATAAATATTGGGCTTAAGATGATATAACGATATTAGTAAATGCCAAGTATCAGGCAAGTTTCAAGTTGATAAACGTTGTGCTTTTCAGGTGGAAAGAAGAATACTTGAATAATAATTAAATTGTACAGAATATTTGTACCTGTATACAATATACTAACACTTTTCATAAACTAACACTTCTTTAAACCTTGAACCTTCTGAATATGGTACCGTCTTTTTGTTCGGGTTCGAAATGTTTGTTTCTTAGAAATAACTCACCTTTGACAACTAAATTTCAATCCAATAAAGTTGCCAGTTTCCGAGGTCAATCCTTTTGTTTTTATACCAAAGAGTTTAGAATCTTGACATATTAATATACAATAGTTTTTACGAATTTATCAAGAGGCAACTCGTAAAAGTTTTTTTATTTTCCATTTTCGTGCATTTTTAATGCAATTTTCAAGAAATGTATTGGATTCATTCTATACAAGTAACATATTGAATTCAATATACTTCATTTACCTGAGAATATTACAAAGTTTCAATATTAGTCAATATTAGTTTAAATCATTGAAATCGATCATAACTAGCTAAATAAAGAAGTAGCACTTAATAATTACTTAAAATGTTGTTTAATTCTTGTCTTTTCTTAACGTTTTCGAATTTAAAACAGGCTGCCAATTCATCTAACTGCTCGAAACTTAAATCTTTGAAGTAATCTGCATATTCATGTTGAGCATACTGACTAAACAACATTTCATTAGTGACTCTTGCGAGGTAGTCCTTTACAGTCCAATTATGTGGGTAAAGGGCCTTACGATGTTGCTCAGGTACATTAGACAATATGTGGTTTTCTAAGTCTGTGTATAACTTGGCATTATTTGGATCAATATCATTGCCCCATCTGTCAAGACCCAAATCCTTTTTCTTTGCAAGCCACTTTCCGAAAAGACTGTACCACTTTGAATCTGGGGATACATACGTCATACCCTGGAATCCAATATCCTTGTATAACCAGATGGACCAACTAATCGGAGACTTGTCCCCAGATGGATCACCACTTTTATATACTTCTAATTGATCCTTTAAGACTTGATACCGTGCCGAATTAATCAAATCAGGATCCTTGTCTCCTCTGAAATCAGAAGCATAAACTGGACCAAATTCACCATTCCAAACTGGGACATTGCGATCTCTCATGTACTCAATTTTACGTTCATATTGGCTCTTGAGCTTATCCTTTTGTTCCTTATTTCCTTTGTATAAGTCATTGTCGTTAGATGGAAAACCATAAAGAGAATAATCATGGATAGCGTATACCGTATTTGGAAGAACTTCTTTAGGGAATTGGCGGAAATCCATGGCATAAGTATTACCATCAAGGAATAAAATATGGTTTGGATCTACTTTTCTTACTTCTTTTTCTAATCTTTCATAGTATTTTATCAATTTACTATGATCAGAAACGGCAGGCTCGTTCAAGAAATTATATCCTGCAACATATTCATGATGTTGATAATACGTAGCTATCTTGATCCAAAGGTTGACTATAGCGTCTTGAAAAACCTTAAACTCCCAGAAAAGAGATTTATGGATTCCGGAATCACTGTGCCAATCTTGGTTTTGACCTCCTGGGGTTGAATGCAAATCCAAAATAGTATAGATTCCGTGTTTTGAACAAGTATCAATAATAGCATCTAATCTCTTAAACCCTAAATTTTTCACATCAAACAAGTCTCCTTCATCATCAATAAAATGTCTATAATTGAAAGGAATTCTCAAACAATTTAAGCCCAATTGTTTGAAAAATTTAGCATCATCTTCAGTCCAAAAGTATTCATAGAATTTATCAAAAAAAAAGTCACATTTTTCTTTACCAATTGTAGTTTCAATCACCTTTTTGTGTTCGGTCTCGTGCCCAGGATAGCCAGTAATGAAGTTCTCCATATTAAGGTGGCCTCCGGTGGCTGCACCCTTAAGGACTACTAATTTTCCGTTTTCATCAACAATTTTTGTTCCTTTTACTTTTAAAAATCCCATTTTCAATTTTGAATATTAATCTAATTAATTACTGCAATTAAAATATACGGAAGCTTGGTACTGTTTATAATAATTTGATTCTGGGTTTCCACTATTTATTTGAATTCTTTATCAATAACACATTCTTACTTTATACGTTGTGGGGCGACTCATATATTCTTACTCGAGTAAATATACCGAAGAATGTAATGTAAATTTAAGGTTACACAACCATTTTAGGAATAGTTACTGTTGATCGTATCTCCAACTTGCTTTCCCCACGATTATCGAGCACGGAGTTTTATTTTTCTGGAGTTCGGCTTAATCGAAAGGTACATAATATAAGGCGTTAGGATGATTACCACTATTTAGGAAATCTATCCGAACAAATGCCGATGCAATATTTTGCTTTAAAAATAATGATTTTAGATTTGTGGGGGAATGCTCATCAATAATCGTTATGCGGTATAGCTGTTCAAAGCCTTATGGTTGAGTAAAAAGCGGAAAATAAAATAGCTGAATATGTTAATTAATTATGGCAAGATCTATAGTTACTATTGTATTTCTTAACCAAGTTGTAAATTACACAAGGGAGCAACGTAAATGCTTGATCCAATGTAATAACTTCTTGCGTGATAGTGAACGAACACATGAAAAAGAAAAAGATGATACTACCTAATCTTCCAGCGACTTAAAGAATGTGTAGACGAGTATGACCACTACCGGTACAACGATGTTCCATGAAACAAGATTTTGCATGTCGGGGTATATCTTAATTTTGTGTATTCTGAGTTTCTTTAAATTGCATTGATCAATATATTGTCGTTGAAACGCTCGAGTTATCAATAGGCAACATAGCTCACACTGCACTAGGTCAGTCGGCGAGTCTTGTTGATTTTTCAATTTAAATGCTACTATTTGAATTAAACTTGATCCAAGAATCTAATTTGAACAATTACTTGCTTAGATAGATTACTTGTATCGAAACTAACTACACTCTTAAGACTTTTCTACCATGATGTACATTGGGTCTTATGCGGTAAAATTATCGAAAAATGACATTTTTCAACTCAAATATCAGACGATGTTGTCTGACATTAATTGCTGGCCCAACTCTGATAAAAAACTCCTTAGTACACGTAGTCCTGTAATTACTTTCTTCCTTGGCTTAGATTACAATATCGATGCAAGTGAACTACTATTACAGAAACCACGCATGAGAAAAAAAGATTAAAACATTAACAACATGGTGCTTATTGAAAATGCTATGTTAGTCTACAACAGCTTCTACAACTAATTCACCATGGATGCAATTGGTTTAAAATATTACTCTGTGCACTTAACGAATGCTCTTGGTCTGTTCAACTAGCCTAACCCATCTTCATAAGCCTATCCTTTTCTGTTATTGGTTCTTTCTTTTTTAACCCAACTTATTTACGGTGGTTGCATAACAATGCAATAATATATTATACGATAGTTTTCAAAGTGTTTATGTAGCATAATAATGATGAAATAAAATAATTTCATTCCTGTATCAAAAAATTCTTGAAATAGCTATTATGCATGGCTATTTTTTACGATTTTGAGGAGGCGCTATTGTACTTTACGGCTACTTCTGGGGTAAGTGACGGATTGGGAAGAGGTTCCGAAATCGGTCAATAAAAAATTAATAGTATTCAAGACGTGGAGAGGGGGAGGAATAGCACCTTTGAATTGACATGAGTGATGGATATGGTATTCGAAGAGGAGAAGGTAATAAGTATATACGCTAGTATTTAATTATGTGTAGTAAGCACAACTGAGACATATAAATAGACATGAATATTTTGACAAGAATATGACTGAAAAATCACTCTCCATAAATATCAATAGATTACTTTGAAGAAAAATATGGGAGACCAAGTAAAGACAGAACAGACAGTGGAAGCTGTTTCAATAGATGAACATTGGGAACAAGATGCGGATGTAGTAACAGGTGGTGATATTAAATACAATGATATTCCATGGTACAAGGTTCCTCACTTGAGATATCTTAATTTTTGTATTTTCTTGATTTCTTTGACATCAACCAACAATGGGTATGACGGCTCGATGTTGAATGGGTTGCAATCATTATCGTTTTGGCGGGATTCTATGGGACAACCCACAGGATATATTTTAGGTGCATTATCCAACGGTACTATTTTTGGTAGTCTTTTGACTATATGGTTTGGCCCTTATATTAGCGATAGATTTGGAAGAAGATTTGGTATTGTGGTTGGCCAGACCTTAACTGTGGTAGGAGCTATATTGCAGGGTGCGTCTACTAATTATGCATTCTTCTTAATTTCGAGAATGATTATAGGTTTTGGTAGTTGTACTGCAACGATTTCTTCCCCTTCCCTAATTTCGGAAATTGCATACCCGACCCATAGACAAGTTGCAACGACATTCTACAACACTTGCTGGTATCTTGGTGCTGTCATTGCGGCATGGGTTACCTACGGCACCAGGCTCATTGATAATGAATATTGCTGGAGAATTCCATCGTATTTGCAAGGAGCATTAGCCGTTGTTCAGCTTGCATTATTCTGGATGATTCCAGAGTCGCCAAGATACTTGATCAATAGGGGTAAGATCGAACAAGCTGAAGCCATTTTGATGAAACATCACGTAGGAAACGAGCAAGATCCAGACTCTATTGCATTGGTTAAATTTGAAGTCCAAGAGATTCGTGCTGCTCTTGAAATGGAAAAGATTTCTGCTCACACTCGCTATACTGACTTCTTCAGGACGCCTGCCAATCGTAAACGTCTATTTATCTGTATTTTTGTACCAACAATTATGCAACTTTCAGGTAATGGTTTAGTGTCGTATTATTTAAACTTGGTTTTGAACTCTATCGGTATCACTGGTGAAACTGAACAATTAGAGATAAATGGTGGTTTGATGATTTATAATATGGTAACTGCCATGTCTGTTGCGGTGGTTGTTAATAGATTCAGGAGAAGAACCTTGTTCTTAACGTCCATTTCATTCATGTTAGTCAGTTATGTTATTTGGACAATTTTATCAGCAATCAACCAGCAACGTAAGTTTGAAGACGAATCGCTAGGTAATGGTGTACTTGCAATGATTTTCTTCTTTTACTTGGCTTATAACATTGGTGCTAATGGCTTGCCTTACTTGTATTTAACTGAAATCTTACCATATAATCAGAGAGCGAAAGGTATTAATATTATGCAAGTAACAAATAATTTAGTGTTGATCTACAATGGGTTCGTCAATCCAATTGCCATGGATGCTATTGAATGGAAGTACTACATTGTCTACTGTTGTATTCTCGTGGTTGAACTAATTCTTGTATTCTTTTTCTTCCCTGAAACATCGGGATACACGTTGGAAGAAGTTTGTAAGGTTTTTGGTGATGAACCACCTGAATTAGTTGCCATCGCTGAACCAAAATCCAAACTTTCTTTTGATCATATCGAAAATGTTTAATGATTGTTTAATTCTTTTTAGATAGTTCTTTATATGTTGACCATAGAGACTACGCTACAATTAAGTATAAATACACGCTTCATACTTTCTAATAATAGATTATATATAGAATATTTCAATGTCGTACCAATAATAGCGAAATGCAACAAAATTGAAACATTGCACTAAATTGATACAGATTTTGCAACAAATTGCAAACTACAATATCTTGAACATATATGAAACTAGATATCAGTAACTACATAAATATGAATGAATTCTGCAATACTTGTTATTTAGTGATGTATATTAAGGAAAATACTAAAAACAATATCTTATGAGTGTCACTAAAATTATCAAGTCTCTTGAGGAGATTAATTCACAATATGGAACGAGCTTTGTTCTAATTACAAAAAATATTGATTTACATTCGAAATTCGAAATATTCAATTCTTCTAACTTTGATAAAGAAAAGATAAACCATTTGCGGTCAATTATTGTTGATGGAAATGAAAGGTATGAAGATAACATCTGCGAGATCAAACCTGTTTTAAAGGAATGTTACTTATTAGAAATCTCGAAGAGATCAACGCTTCAATTATTCGACCAGTACTACGATTTAATGAGTTCGCTAAGTCAAGCTGTTTGCAAGACAATTGCAAAAGAATGGATTAAAGTTGCGGAACCCAAAAAACAAGCCCTTTATCCGTACAAATTCTATAACACTTCCAAACCACCGTGGTGGCCTGCCAGAGTGAATCATATCGAGCCGGATCATTTGGACAAGGATAGTAGAATTAATGTACTTATAAACATCCTACGCAACCCGTCATTTGATATACAAGCTTTGAAATTACGAACAAGTGTTTTAGAATTCAAATACCCCATTACCCTAAGAATTTTGAATGAAATATACTATTTGGCAGTGTATGACAGGCTATTCTTTGGAAAAGGAAGAGAGAACGAAGTACAGGCGGGGATTCTTTCCAAGTTGGCCTATGAGGAAAGGGAAAAGCTTAATTCAGATAAGATTGGCATTGTTGTCAGTGATATTAGAAGTGCCAGTGCGGGTATTAGACACCGGGGTTTAATTATGGTGAGACAAATAAGGGAAAGTTGGCTCAACAACGATACTTATTTGCTTAATACACTTCCAAGTACAGATAGAAGCATCGAAGATGAAGATAATGGAATTAAAAGAGTCGCCAACAGGATAGATACTCCTGAAATAGGGGATAGAAAAAGAAAATCCAGTCAATTAAGTGAGGAAGAAAAATATGCTACAGAAGATATAAAAAGACACCAGACAAGTGAAAGTAGTCTAGGAAATTCACCAGGAATTATTCATGTAAAACAAGATCCTGATTACTTAAATAATTTTAAGGAATTTGATTACGAAGCAGTTAGTCAAGAAATAGTTAATCATCTTGACTCTGCAATGGAAAATTATACAAGTTCTCCCTCATCAGATGAATTCTATATTTGATCAGCTATAGTTAGATTATTTAGATAATGAAAATTGAGCTCTAGCATTGCTATCAAATTATCCTGAAGCAAATATGCATTAAGGTTCATATGATTAATTTACTCTTGCTTTTTCCAATGGTCCTGGATATCAGGAAGTTAAAGTTGTAATTATCATAAAGGTCATAAGTCTAGCTACATCGAAACATGAAACAAATTAATGATTATGTTTATTTCATTTTGAAGGGGAAAACTCGAGAAGGACAAAAAGAAGACTTAGGAGATGAGAGGATGAATCGTATGTTATTATTGCTCGTTTCATGTTCTCGACTAATGGAAGTGAGAATGAAACGGATAATAGATCGAGGAATTTTCAGATTCATTCTTTGAACAGCCACGGTATGAATAATTATTTGGATTTTTATGGCCTTTCGCAAGATGGAAACTTGAAAGATAAGCAAATTCGATTGGAGACATTGATTGGTGTTAATTCAAATTGTTACCTCAACTAAGATAGAAGAAGGTGAATTAATCTAGCGTAGTTCATTATAGTAGTATTTAAAGTTCAGACAATGATGTTCTTTTTTGTAGTCCGATACATGAAGGTACATCTTGTGATTTAATTATTCCCGTCTTCTTCGATTAGAAATTTGATATCTCGAAGATATGTTGGATTTCCCGTAAAGGTAGGAAGTTGCATCCATCAAACGTGCAACGAGTGATTTTGTTCTGAACGGACAGATTCGAGAAGAAGAAACAGAGGACTTCGGCCACGAGGGATTAAATAAATTGATGATATACATTAACATAAGATTCCAGCGGATCGATGACTGGTTTCACAGCATATTTGGGATGATACACTCGCAAGTCAATGGTGGAATTCAACATATGTCTGGGAAACATATCCAATGGGCGGAACATCTGTCCCTCATGCTGACGTTCCAATAGTCAATAATAACGATAAATCACCCGTTGGTAGCGATTTAGATGCAAAGGCTTCGCTTGATCAAATACATTATTCAAATAACCAAACAGTCGACGCTTATTTCAGATTTTCGGACATTTCTATGGATGGAAATTTATCAGATAAAAGAAGGTGATTTCAGGGTTTATTGATGTGAATGTTGACATAGTTAACAACTTTTAAAATAAAGAAACCCAAGATTCTAACGCAATTACAATAATTTTTCAAATAGCTTGAACTTACTAGAGTAATAGAAATATTATGCTCCAAATTAGATCATATATGTGTGACTTTGACTGTCTGTAGTTTACTTGTTTCGCGCCGCATCTACAAAACAACAGAAGTTTATGCATCTGTATATCATTCTTCCAGGATTTTCTAATCTTCATCATATACCCTACGGTTCACTTGAAGGCGTACCATTCTGTAGGCGTATATTTATAACTCTTTCAATGTTTCATGGTATGTATCAATAGTTGAAATCCAATCGTTTTGGAAGAGTCTATTCGATGCGCAGTGTTTAGACGCGCGTATGGAAATGCTGAAACAATATCTGTTTTAATCCAGTTTTATATTTGCCTCCACTTAACCTTTAATGCACATCATATGCTCTGATATACCATCATTTAGGTTTTCACTATAAGGCTGATACGCTTGGTATCACTAAGCGACATAATTGATTCACAGTATGTAAGAAATCTAGAAAGAAGAATAATATATAAGAAATGCAGATTTGTAACGTTTTGACAAAAATATGAATTTGTAGTAAATCTACAGCATAGATATTAAAGGAATGTCTGACCTAATTGAACAAGATAATGAAGATGTATCTCTTCAAGTACCTCAAGGTCTTGAGGGTCCAGATGACATAAATTTGTGGTACAATCCGCAGGGCGTGGCTAAGGCGAATGCATTTTATCACACTAGAATGGTAGACGGGAATTCGAATCAAATAAACGAAGCCAAAAGATTTCGTGACCAGTTGGAAAACGCATATCACGAAGCTGAAATCGGATCCAGCCCAAAGGTCAGAAAGCTCAGAAAGTCTACGATTAGTATTCACCAAAATATGCAACGGGTGAATGATTATCTTTATTTAAGTCTGGAGGGAGAAACTCGCCACGGACAACTAGAGGATTTAGGAGATGAGAGGTTGAATCGAATGCTGTTATTGCTTGACTCACGTTTCCAAAGGATGGAACGGAGAATGGAACGGATAATGGAACGAGGAATAGACATAATGAAGCGGGATATGGATGTAATGAAGCGGGATATGAATGTAATGAAGCGGGATATGAATGAGGGATTTAAGAAGCTTGAAAAGCAACAGAAGAACTCCACATATCGTATGGAAAACAAATTCAAAGGCAAAGGAGGAACTTCTGAGCAGAATGCTTACAATCCGATAGTCAATAATGATAATAAATTTCCAGCCGAAGACAACTTAGAGCCACTAATTTCGCTTAGTCAAATTCATTCTTTGAATACTCATCACATGAACAACTATTTGGGATTCTATGGCCTTTCGCAAGATGGAAACTTGAAAGATAAACAAATTCGATTAGAAACATTCATTGGTGTCAACGTTCAAGTTGTTACCTCTACTAAGACAGAGGAAGGATCGGTAATTTAGCAGTCTTAAAATATCGACGTTTACGGCTGTGACACTTCAAGTGTAACTACTAAGAAGCGTATAGCATGTTTTTACTCAAATTTTAATGATTAGCTTAATATCTAAAGGCCTTACACGGTTTTGGATAGCAAGCATTTGTGTATCTAATTTATATTTTCATTTTTCAAGGATAGACTTAACTCTACGATGAATAGGAAAAGATAAATCAACGAAATTAAGATTAATGCTCAAGGAAAGTAGCGTAGGATATTACTGGAATATTATTGGAACATCTAGTGGAAACTGAAGCTAGCCACCCACTGTAATAAGATCATATGCGAATAGACATTGAAAATTAATTTAGCCCATTATTTACTATGTTTTCAAAATCCGAGCCGGGAAGCTGGGAGCTTTCTAATCTAGTTTATGCTTTGCACCTACAAAGCTAAGCTTGCGATTATTGAAGCTTGCTGTCATCGCTCAGGCTATACAGTAAAAGACATATGGCTCACGTACATATAGTAGCCAAGAATTGAATTTAAAAACTCTAGGGTTCAACATGAATTAGAAAGTCTTCCATTTACTGTTTGAAATTCACTGATTATATATTTAAGCTTACGTATGATTTATAGTCAGGACTAACATGATTTACATGTATATGGTTTACCAAATCTTGTAGGATTTTCAGGAAAAATGGATATATCACCTATGCAATGTTGCTTAAAATAAAGATTTAATGACCTTCGTATTTTTTATTAGTTTATTCGCCTAATACATCTAATAAATTAAGACATTCAGATAACCATATTCCACCTTATCCCTTTAGAATTTTAATATAATAAAAGAACTTACAATTAAAATAAATGTTAGTATAAAATATTTTTTTTATAGTCCAATTTAATATATCCAATTTATTGGATTACGTAGAGTTGATATTATCTTTGTCTTATTTCAGGATAGCTTTATGCTGATGATTCTAGTGAGTGGAATGAATGGACAAATACAAAATTTTTTATTCGTATCATGTTTCACATAATGCCTAATTTAATGTTGATAGATAGTGTCTTTGAAAAAATCGGAGAGAAAAGGTTTAAATTACTAAAGATTAATGCTCATTGTCCTGTCAAGAGATTTTGCACCCAACACATAAAGGTGTGATCTCGAAGGATTGAAGACAAAAATGTGAGCTAAGATATAGTTAGGCTATCCTTCGCAAATTTGTAAAGGTTACACCGTCTGAAGATGTCTATCTTTAGTCAGCTAAATATGATCATTTGTGATAATCGTACATCTTTTGAAGTTAATATTGTGTCCTAGCCGCACTTCATGTGATTTTTTCTTTGATTCTTTTTGCAATCAAGTAGGCAGACACTAAAACAAACTTATATAAAGCAAGAAGCACATATACAATTAAAACTCTACTGAATTTAAACTTTTTCTTAGAAACATTAGAATCTCGAAGGAAGTATTCTTTTTCCTATTTTATTTTTGCTAATAACAATGTCTGCCCATATCGATACTCGCTCCACTATTGAGCATTCTGGTGATAGTAAGGTAGAAAATCCTATTGGTCCATGTCTGCAAAAACAATTTTTGAATCATTTTAAACTGTACTCACTTGTGAATTCGACAAGAGACATTATTTTTATGATTCCATTAGCCAGAAAATGTGCGACTAATATTGCTCCAACTTTTCAAGTGATTAGAAATACGAACCCGATTAAGGTCGTCATGGATAAAGGTGATCCAATTGCCGATAGTGCTTTGAATAAACTTGACTCTGTCGCCCCAGGCTTAAAAAAATATGATTATGATTTGTGGACTCCGTTCACTCGTCCAGTAAGTGGAACCTTAGAATGTTCTCGCCGTGTGTTCGCGAATGGTAATGAAACCATTAAGGCAACAATAATTGAACCATCAGCAAAAACAGTACATGATTTACGCGATCGCTTCCACTATGTGGTTTATGATAACAATGGAAAAGGGATTATCACCAGTACTGCTGACCCATTAGTTGCCCCTTTTAACGATTATTTAGAAAATCTCGTCGCTAAGCGCCATCCGATATCAAAACCGGATTCCAAGATTCATTCTAGCGAATTGTCTCGCACCGTAAGATTAATTGTTGAAGCCGTTCGAGGAGTTCATGTACCAACTGAAAATACTTCCCAAAAGTCCGCAAAAGAAGAAGGAGGAGGAGAAATCATTGATCATTATGAAGCATTTGAAAAAGATCACGAAGAATCCGTTGAGCATACATAATAACTGCATAGTTTCTGTATAACCAATTAGTTAGATTTATATATGTGATTATTACTACTACTAAGAAGATAGAATAGATGGCTTGACTATAACCAGAGGCTCATTTTTATAAATCTTATATATTTGACATGCAATAAAAATAAATTTACTTTACAAAAGAAATTAAGTACATCTAAATTAAACAAAAGAAACAAACAAAGTTGCACTTCATCAAAATCACAACTGGATCACCTTATCTTCCCTAATCCTTAGACTTCTTCTTCTTCTTCTTTGGAGACTCGTCATCATCAGCCTTACGCTTCTTTTCCTTCTTTTCCTTCTTCTCTTTCTTTTCCTTTTTATCCTTCTTTTCTTTCTTATCCTTCTTTTCTTTCTTAGAAGACTTGGTTTCTTCTTCAGAGTCAGCAACAGCAGTCACATCACCAGCTTCTTCTTCATCAAGATCACCAGACAAAGCTAAAGCTTCTTTAATAGCATCAGCATTTTTCATAGGAGTAGAACCTGTATCGTAGAAATTTAACCTTTCTTCAACTTGTTTCTTCAAGATTTGTCCAAAAGCGGTGGATGGTTCATCAGAATAGTTATCAATTCTTGAAGCAATAGAACACTTGTTGGCTAAGTATCTGGAAATTCTACCCTTATTCTTAGCAGACGCTCTACCAATAAATGAAGAATGGTACATTAAACCGTATTTTGGTGTATTTCCCTTGGTCTTCAATGCTCTGAACAAAGCCTTTTCAGCACCTAAAATTTGAACAGTTGAAGCAGCTTGTTTCGACAAGTTTGTCAAAGAACCTGCATGCGAAATTAATCTGGCACCAACAACTTCACCAATTAAAGTAGTTAAATTTGGAGCAACCGTATTCATTTTATCGGTTAAATATTGGTATAATCTGGTTCTGTATTCCGAAATGGAAACAACTCTTTCAGCAAACGTAGCAACGTTTTCCATATCTTGCTCGGAGATGTCTTGACCCATAGAGATTTTCGCATTATCAATAACCTTTTGGGCAATAGCAGAATCATCGTTAACTAATGCGGCAATATCATGCAAAGATTCGTCGGTCAATGAAGCTTTATCCTTAATGAATAAAGTCAATCTCGCAAAACTGTAATTATCAGGAACAATTTTTGCTAATTCTGGAAAGTGCCATCCGTACCATTCCTTTACTCTCATGGCAAAAGTATTAATATCCTTGTCTAATTGATCTAATAAGGCAATAGCTTGAATGATATGGTTATCATTCTTTTGTACTGAAAACTTAACTTTAGCACGAGAGAAAGCATGCCCTAAACCTAACTGAGCTCTTTCAATGTCACCTTCCTGTAATTCTTTCAATAACTTGGTACCGTGAACTCTAATACCTCTTAAGAAATCTTGAACTGTTTCGTTTGCTAAACAATCAACGTATGGGAAGATCTCCTTAATAGATGGACCTAAATTTTTATCAGAAACACCTAAGTTGATCTTCTTCTTGGAAGAACCCTTTGGTAAGTTCAATTCTAAAATTGACTTTAAGTAATCGGAAACTAACCCTTCGGAAATATCATTAGCATTTTCTAAAGCTTGGGCTGCACCCTTGAATGGAGCAAATGAAACTAATTCAACCATCTTGGAAAATTTGGCCAAATCGTTCGATGCTTCTTGAACTTCCTTCAGTCTAGATGAAATGTCATCTTGCTGAATTAACACTTTGAAAATAGCATAACCAGTTGCTTCTTCGAAAAGAAGGTAGTCTAAACCAGCCATATTATATGTCTCTTAATTATCAAAGGTTATTAATAAATCTAAGATAGATAAGATTCTTCTATTACCTCAAGAGTATTTGGTCCTCCGTATGAAAAATCTGAAAATTCTTACTACTCATCTCACTTCATCAAAAAATTATTTTTGTGTAATTTTACTATTTTTTCGGGTTACGAACTCGAGACTTATACAGAAGTTACACAAGATCAAACTATGTCTATAAAGTTGTTATATATTAAGCAAAGTTGATATCCCATCCTAGGTCTTTAAGAATTGAATGCCAATCTACAACCCTGTCACCCTCGGGACTCTGCTCCCAAACTTTCTCCATAAGAAATTTCGCTCTTGTAACATTCCAAGGACCATATAATTTCATAAACTGATCAAGTCTTTGTCTCATCGTATCTCTATCATACGTTGTAACGCAATGGATACCAGACATGAACATCGGGAACACTAGAGATGCCTGCACCGGGGAACCCAATACTATGTCGATGCATTTTATTAAATCGTTTGCAAGTACCTGAGATTCCAATGATGACGGATTGCATTTCATAATAGTTTGTCTGAGAAATAACTTAGCACTGATCTGAAATGCTTCAAAAAGAGTCAATTGCCATTCTAGTTCTTCATCTGTAAGGTTTACCAAGTCCGTAAGGTCAGGCTTTGATTCGTCTATTTCCATTTGAAGTACCATGGCTTTGTCTATAACCGACGATAACAAACGATTCATTTTCGCGTGCATACTCAAGTCAGAATCGTTGTCGTTAATGTCCTTTGGAGTGCCAAATATGGGAGACTCTGAAATCCCCGTTTTCGTATTTATAGAATCTCTATTGTAGTATTGGCTTAATATAATTTTACTTTCGAATGCCAAAGTGCTAATATCTCCAATTATTCTATAGAGCTTCTTAGAGACACCAAGCAAGGGGTTAAGGTTTCCTTGCGATAGACCCGCATGGTCCGAAAATATAGTTTCATAGTCCTCTGACGGGAAATACGTACCTCTTTCACTCGAGGAACTAGCCAATAAATCATGATATGCGAAGTTAGATATTAACCAATGCTCTTCTTTTGTCAGATTAAAATTTAGAATACCTCCATTCGTGAATAATATTTTCCAGCCCCAGTATAAGTAGATGGACCAGTTTTTAACGTCACCACGACAAATTTCAGCACCGCATAAAATAAGTAAAGTAGCTAACTTAACCAAAATAGTGTGTCGATCGTCTTTCCCTTGATTTCGGTCCATCGATTCCTTTAACGTCTTATTCATATGCTCCAACGCTAAATCAGCGTACTTCTTACCTTCGTTTATCCAATCACCGTCTAGATGAAAGCCGGACCATGCCAAAATCCCGTAAAGAACACCCTTGTCTTTATGAGCAAGCGGTAAAAAAATATTCTGGTACGAGTTGGAATCATTCTGCGAACTCGGCGCTATACATACTTTTCGAGATAGGGTTTCGACATAATAGTTGTATAAGTAGGCGCTTTTGCCAGTTAATTCTGGGATTACTGAAGGCGGTGATGGTGGTAATGGGGTGAATATAGAATTCAAGGATGATGCAAAGTTATTGAAATTGGATGGCGATAATTGTCTTTCGCCAGAAAACTGTTCTAATATATTCAGAATAGAAAAATTAGGTGATTGTATAATGCTGGTCTCCTTTGACTTGTCGTGTTGGTCTCCTAGCAATGGAAATGCGTAGCTAGTTTCGTCATGCTTGGTATTGTCTGAGGGTTGATTCAATCCCCTTAGGAAGCTTAAGAACTCCGACGGTGAATATGCCACCTTATCATATGGGTTAGATTCATATGACCCAAGGTTGGGAAGGTCTACCACGTCGTTGGTGGGGATATGTTTTCCATTTTCGTGGTCGAGTGGGTTCATGAGGTTGCTGATGGTAGGCGAATTGGGGGTTACAAATGCTTGTTGGAGACTCGAGATCGTAGGGACAGGAGTGCTCGAACTTGGCGAAGGTGTGCTGTTGAATACTCTAAAAAGCAGATTCGGACTCTTCTTCACGCTATGCTCCGACATCTTGCTATACGACTCTTGTAATTTCTGCGTCGCATAAGCGTATGTCATCGGAGTGTCCTGGTGGTTCGTTTCAAGCGGGGTTGGGTCGTACAAAGTTCGGACCATTTCAGTAGACGAGTCTCTAGCTTTACGCTTCCGCAACTTCAGCACACTCTCTTCGTGCTCGACTCGTTCCCGTAACACCCTGATCTGCTCGTCGCTCATCGTGTTATAATCCACCCACACACACTCTTTATTCAACCGAGCACAGTCCGCACAAACAGGTCTCATCTCATTGCATTTTTTCTTCCGTATCTTGCACGTCAAACATCCTTGCTTCGATCTCCTCGAAGCCTTCATCTTGTGGAAGTCCCGGGCGTCCTCAATTATCCTGATCGTCCCACTCTCGCTCTTCGCAGCCTTCACATCCACCTTGGATGCACCCCGGCCTTCCACCAGGGGCTTTCCGACCTTTCCATCATCCTTACCGTTCCTCTTAGGGACCCCTAAAACCATTATATCCTCTCCGCCCGTCATTCGCCCCACCTCATCCCTCTTATTCGTGCGTTTAGCCTTCGAATTGAAAGTCACCAACATCTCGGTTCCTCAGTGCGTATCTGGCGATCCTGTAGTATTATAGCCGATTCCGTGGGTTCAAATTATCTAAGTCCATTTACCCGTATCCAATATATATATTCCGGGGGTTAGCAGTCAATTAATCCGTGTGGTTGTCTTTATAGATCAATTACAGTGTCTGTATAGGGTTCAATATTGGACTTTTTCTGCGTAATCTTTAGTACTAATGGATGTTATCATATTGGGGCCAATTGGGCAAGACACGCCCTTTGTATTCTCTTTGTTCCGATTTTTCTTCACTATATATTGTTGAGTATGTTGTGAGTGGACTGTCGCTACGAGACATTATTGCATGTCGCATGTCGTTTGCGGCTCGGGCAACCGGACCCACACATACGCGTAAATCCATCTCTTCGCAGTACATTTGAACACTAATTAAAAAAGTGGAAAATTCGTCAGCGTTCCATGAGAAGCATTATATGCAGTCAATTAAGGCCAGTGACTACGTCGACAAATTCTCGCACCATCCAGAACGCTATCATGATGATTAGTTATTTCTCTACTTATACATATTATAGATCATATATTTAGATCAAAGCATACATTTAGCTAAAAATGTCAACCAAACGTATTAATAAAGAATTAGCAGACTTAGGAAGGTAAGTTTTCTTCTTTTTTAGGCGAGAAAAGCCGTTGGTGGGTCCGCTGGAACCGCTCGGGCAAGTGACAGCAAAGTTGGTGACAGGACCCATCGAGCGATTTAATAGAATATGCGTACTAACGAAACATATGATAGAGATCCACCATCGTCATGTTCAGCAGGACCCGTGGGGGATGATTTATACCACTGGCAAGCGTCTATTATGGGACCTCCAGACTCGCCATATGCCGGGGGGGTTTTCTTCTTATCGATCCATTTTCCTACCGATTATCCATTCAAGCCACCTAAGATTGCGTTCACGACCAAAATCTACCACCCTAATATCAACGGTAACGGGAACATCTGTTTGGATATATTAAAGGACCAGTGGTCGCCCGCGTTGACGATTTCTAAGGTGTTGTTATCTATTTGCTCGTTGTTGACTGATGCCAACCCCGACGATCCTTTGGTACCAGAAATCGCTCATATCTACAAGCAAGACAGAGCCAAGTACGAATCCACCGCTAAGGAATGGACCAAGAAGTATGCGGTTTGAAGGGGCTCGTGTCGAGTGGCTCGCGTAGGTGTTGATGCGATGCCTATGAGGTGAGTGGTTTGGTAGTTACAGGTTTCAGGTTTATCTCTTTACAACAATTATTTATTAATAGATAATTATTACGATAGCATAATAAGAATGAATATATCCTTATATACTTGTAGTATCATCCTGTGTTGATGGAGGGTCTTTTCCAGCATCTGTTGGCACCATATACCAATTTTGAGCATCTGCACGCACTTCTCCCCAGGACACCTCGAGAAGTATCAATATGGGCCGTTAGATGGTGTAGTCAGATGGAAAACACGCTTAGATCGATCCTTCCTGTGAATCAATTAAACCAGGTCCATACGTAGAGTGAACACAGCATATCCGCTTGAGTGTATTGATAATTTACGTTTAGATTTTTATAGGACATAAATAAATCAGGTGAAAAATACCAACTAGCGTAATCAATCTAGAGCCAGTACAAGTTCACACAATTAGGTCCATTTCAAAATATCGAAGGAAGCCCCATAGCATATTACGCAGTTCCCAGGCTTGATTGACATACAATACAGAAGGCATGGAGAAGCTATCTGCATTTCAAATAAATAATAAGTACAAATTATTTCAGTTGGCCAAAGAGTTGAATTCGACTAAGTTCTTCGAAACATGTTTAAATGACAACCAGTACAAGATAATAAGCTATCTATTGTCGACAGACAACTACGAATTGTGGTCTAACTTTTTGGAAGGAAATTGTTATTTGCAAGTGAGCAAGAGCCCGACCACAGAAAAATCGGACCAAGCAGACGAAGAAAATGAAGAAATTATAGAAGAGGGCCACAAGCCTATAAAAATGTTGGCATTACACATTAGATATCTTTTATGGGAAAAAGCTATAGATTTTTATTATTCGTCAAAGGACTTAGATCAATCTGTATATACAATCGAAGAAGTCACTGATGATTACGAATTAATTGACAAACTAGATAAAATGCCAGAGGAGAATGTTGCAAATGGCGAAGGAACTGAAAACGACTCGACATTGGAGACCAAAGCTGCACCTATTGCGAGAGAGGAAGAAGACGATTATGACGATGAAGAAGACGAAGAAGAAAAAGAAAAAGAAGAAACTGACAAGAAGAGCGTCCATAACTCGGAAGATCATGCTATGCTGGGAGATGTGACATATAACGATGATCACCAGGCGATACTTGAAGTTCCTTCAAGTTTATTTGAAGAAAAACCAGAACCAGAGACTAATACAGAACTAGAACAACCGTCAACCACAGAATCAAGGCTTAATATAGAGGAGCAAGAAAACTTAATTAAAGAATTTAACAAAGTATATCATAATTTTGAATACGACAGAGAGACATTAATAAAGAGAAGAAAATTGGAAAAGTCTGATATGCAGCTAGAAGAGGCGGGCTCGGATGACATTGATGGCATTCAAAATGGTACTGAAAACACGTCCAATATTGACGGCGCTGACAACATGGTAATAAACCTTGGTTCGGCTTCCCTTTCATTAAAACATTTACTTCAAACTATTCAGCAACAAAGAGACGAGATCCCATTAAATGATTTTGAGTTGCGTACCTTATTCATGGATGTTAGGAAGAATCGAGGTAAATGGGCAAATGATGAAAGAGTCGGACAGGAAGAGTTATATGAGGCATGCGAGAAAGTAGTTATGGATTTGAGAGGTTATACTGAACATTCAACTCCTTTTTTAAATAAAGTTTCTAAAAGAGAGGCCCCAAATTATGGTTTGATTATTAAAACGCCAATGGACCTTAACACAGTCATGAAAAAATTAAAAGGTTTACAGTATAATTCAAAAGAAGAATTTGTTAACGATTTGATGCTTATATGGAATAATTGTTTGACCTACAATGTAGATCCAAAGCATTTTTTACGGGCGCATGCCATTGCAATGCAAAGAAGAACACAAAAGCTTATTCCCTCCATCCCAAATATAACTATAAGAAGTAGAGCAGATGTCGAAAAGGAGGAAGAGTTAGAAAACGAGGAGAAAGGCTCGCCTATTGGTGCAGGTAAATCATCTAAGAAAGGTAGAAAGAGAACAAGAGAAGATCAAATTAAGACAGAGGATGATACCAATAATGAGTCGCCTGACCCATCATCACTTTCAGAGACGCCCGCCACAGGGGTAAGTGCAACCGAAGCACCATCAGTAGGAAATGAAAATAAAAAGGCCGATGCAATAGATCAGGATAATGAAGAAGAAGAAGAAGAAGCTGATCCCGATGTACGGGAGGATAACGATAATGACAACAATGATGATGAAGACGAAGTTGGTCCAGAGCTACAAGCATGGCGTACTTTGACGGCGAAATCGAGAGCCCATTATTGCGCACAAAGAGCAGGCTTATTTGATGACAACTACAAGCTCAAACCTAATGCCGAAGCTATCATAAGAGAATCCAATGAGATGAGTAATTTCAACCATTATCTTAATAACACACTGGTTGTATCTAAAAGTAGCAATTTACTTGAAAACGACGAGCCTTATTTATTAGAATATGACATCACTGGTGGGTTGCCAGGATTCAAGTATAGCGGTGTCAATGAAGAAGACGAAGAGAGAAGAGAACAAAGATTAGTCGATGTTTATTTACAACAAGCTGATGGTGATGCTAGTAAGATTAAGTCGCCTTTTGTACTTCCAACAGACAGCGGATTAAACAAAGTTTATCTTGAGAACATATCTGAGATGCAAGAAATAAGGAAGATATGTTTCAAGATCTCCCTTATCCGTCAGATGCAAACGCAGCTGTTTGTACATCATACTCAGTTAAGGCAACCAGAGATCGATGCTCTTAAAGAAGTCGATGTCGATCCTGTTTCCAAATTATCTAATCATGACCCCTTCCATAAAGATATTCAGTACTCTATTCTAAGGCGGAATATTTCTAAGATTGCAATGCAAACAGGGTATGAAACTACACAACCTGCTGCGATTAATACCTTAACTCAGCTCGCAGAGAGATATATGGAAAATTTGATTAAATCGATTAAATTGCATTCTGAAAGTAGTTCGTCTAACAAATTGACGACTAGAGAAATTCTTTTATTGTCTCTTTTAGAGAATGGTATTGATAAGCCAGATGATCTTTATACATTTGTGAAGGAGAAGATTGTCAAGCAGCAAGCAAAATTGAAGGATTTGAGAGTGAAATTATCTAACTTCCTCAAAGAATTATTAAAGCCAGGATTAGAAAACTTCAATGAGAAGAGTTTTGATGATAATAGTGAACAATTTATGACAGGTGATTTTTCAAATGACCTTGGTGACGATTTCTTTGGGTTTAAAGAACTTGGATTGGATAAGGAATATAAAATGTTAAGCTCTTCTATTCCGATTTATCTTTTGCATTCAAGACTTCATAACTCGTATAGTGCTAACGGAATCATCAGCAAACGAAATAAATATGAAGATTTGAAAGAATACAATGTCCCCAAATTATATGCATCCGATATAGAAAACCAAATTGGCATATTGACTCCATTTTACTCGAAATTGTTGGACAAGTCGAAGCATCATTTCGTGAAGGTCCAGAAGAAAAAAGGTGAAAGTACTACGTTACCTGAAAATGATAAATTAGTGTTAATAGAAGATGAAGAATTGCCGCAGAAACAGAGAAATGTTCGCCCTCGATTACCACCTACTGGTAAAATCACATCGACGAAGAAGAAGATTATTGCTAACTCTTTTATCTTACCAGATGAAGAGGAGTTGGCTGTATCATAGTTATTTTGTAATTTATAGTAGTAATATATACTAGTAATGAACCACGTTGTTTTGCTCACGTGTATCTCTACTATTTTGATGATAACATCATTGGATTATAATCTATACTTTTAATATTATATTATACTTACTTTAGAGTTATTTTCAATCGCAAATGTGGTAAATAGAATGCCCGAGTCTACTAATTCCTCCAATAAAAATAGGACGAAGATTCAACTGGTATCATCCACGCTTTCTGGGCTTTCAAAGAATGAATTGACAAATCGTGATATTTTTGGTAGGACTATTTTACATATTCTAATACTAGCTAATAGATATGACCTGCTTAGAAACTTATTGAAAAACCCCGACGTAAGGCCATTGCTTACCCATACTGATTATGAAAATGGTTGGAATTGCTTGCATTATGTTATTTTCCATAAAAGGTTGTCTTGTTATAAGGTGCTCATAAACTACATACAAACTCTGAAATCAGGTTCAGTAGGCAATCCAAACAATAACCTCTTACTCGAAATGCTTAGATGTAAAGATCGGAATAAAGTTACTCCCCTACAACTTTTGGATAACGATTTCAAAGATTTGGTTTGGGTTCCGGAGTATATCGACGAAAATAATGAGTACCATTTGAGTTATAGATTTCAAGGAGCCAAGGATTCTGATGGTGGCGACAATGAAAATAATGAAAAGATTGAGAAACAACTTACAAATAAGATGCCATTTGTACGACAGAAACATAATTGGTCTAATCCAAAAAGAGGCGGCTCGGATATATATATGTTTGGCTCTAACAAGAATAATAATTTGGGCGTTGGTGATGCAACGGATAGAGCTATACCGTCAAAGATTTCACACGAATGTTTTAAAACAACAGGAACTGAGAGTCAAACTATACAGGCTAGTCTAATGAAACCAAGATATAAGAAGGTTAAAATCTCTAAGAATCATTCGATTGTATTGACTTATGACGGCAGTTTATATTCATGCGGTATTGGTTCAAGAGGTCGACTTGGCCATGGGTTTAATGATTTAAACAATACTTTTCGTTTCAAGAAGATAGATTTTTATGAACTTAATGAGGATGAAGATAACGGACTGGATCATACAGAACAAGTTATCAAAGATGTAGCCATTTCAAGTAATCATTCCATTGCCTTAAATAATGAAAATGAAATTTATTCTTGGGGCTTGAATAATTTCAACCAATTAGGCTACACATCCTCAATGGCGTCAAGCTCTAACTCCGTCTCCAATAAGACCTTCCTTGAGCCTTTTGAAGGTCAACCAAAAGAAATTGTTTCCGGGGATTTGAAGAAAAACCAAAATCCCATTAATGGTTTGACTGTATCTAAGATTCATTCCGTTGCATATACTAAGAATGAATTATTTTTCTGGGGCTTATGTATTGGCCAAATGGGAATACCTATAGATTCAACAACGACACATATAGAACATAAGGTGAACAATATAACTTACAAAGGATTTATTCAACGCAGCCCAAAAAGAGTCGCTTTGAGAGATGACATTAAGTATGTACAGACATCCGAAACTTGTACATGTGTTATAACTTCAACTAATGATATTCATATATTCTATCAATATCAACATTTCAAATTGCCAAAAATTCCAGTTAAGGGATCTACTGATAAACATTTTGATTTATTTAAGCCAACGAAGCTCACGCAAGCAATTAAAATAGAAAAAGTATGTTTAAAGAGCGACCAATTCATTGCACTTTTATTAGATAATGGAGATGTCATGAGTTTCACGTTGTCATCTGAGAATGATGATGGATCGTCGAAAGGTTATAAGAACTTGAAATATGCTTCTTTATGGAAATCATATGACCGAGACATGAAGGTAATAGACATTGATGTTTCTAATGATGGATCAATTATTCTATGTACTAGAAATGGTTCTGCATTTATCAAAACGCATTCTTCTCAGAGAAAGAATTCAATGAGTGACGTAAGCTTGTCTATTCCAGCTCTGAAAAATAAGTTTAAAAGAATCGAGAGTTTGAATAAGGTAATTAAGGTGTCTTGTGATGATAATTTTTTATCTTTCGGATTTATTAGAGATGATATTGATTTGATACCCTTTGAATTACAAAATAATGATTTCTTAAAAGATATGGAATACCTCAGTTGCCTATCTGACATAAATTTTGTTAGGAAGCAGATGCAGCTTTTAAACTCTGGCCATAACCATAGTTCTTATATTTCAGACTACTTATATCCCCAAAACACAAGAGCCAATGCAAATATTTCATATCATTCAATTTTCCCCAGTCACCCACAAGAAGATGAAGATGAATTAGATGAAATGCATTCAATGGAAGATAATGAATACAGTAAAAAAATGACATACGATATACTATATGATAGGTACATTAGCAGGTATGATTTCCAGAGGAATAAAAGAATTAAACTCAGGAATACTTATCTGCATACTTCTCGTGTTGAAGATGAAATGCTTATGAATTTGTTGAAATCTGACATTCTTTATTTATCATATAGATTGAGGGAGAATTCAGAGTCTAACAAAAGGTATAATTGCTCAATAAAGTTTGCAAAATTTCCTGATATATCGATTAAAATTCACAAAGAAATATTCATCAGGAGGTCACCATTTTGCGCTAAAATATTTAATCCTACAAATGCAGGTGAGTATTTCATAGAAGAGGGAGTAGAAGGTAGATATAACCCAGAAGAGAATGAGTTGGTTTTCACAAATAATATAAATATTAAGTCGGTCTTGATTATCACCCATTTTATATATTCTAATAGGGTATTAAGTATATGGGATGATTTTCCAGGTGGACTAAATTGTCCGAGTGATATAAAGGAGATAAGACAGGATTTTGATAAATTATCGAGACTTTTCTTAGTGACAGGTCTATTAGGTAAACTCACTAAGGATGAAGTATACTTAAAAAAAGTTCAAGCTTTACTTGATGATAAGCTGAATGGGGATGTGATTATAAGGCTTAAAGATGGGGATATAACTTGCCACTCATACATCTTAATTGCAAGATCTGCTTTTTTTGAAACTGTTTTGTCAGAACGATGGGATAATCAGCAATACTTTGAAGGTCTCAAAGTCCTAACCCTAGGCGACGTATCCGTTTTTCAATTTGAATTGATATTGCGCCATTTATACGGCTATAATGATATAGAATTGTTTGATTGTTTGAATGAAAAACTTGGTGATAACCCTGATATTGACGAATTTATTAACTGTTTATTAGAGCTAATTGAAATTTCAGATGAATTACTACTTTTGCAATTAAAAAATTTATGCCAGCTAGGTATTAAAGATTTTATATCTTTGGAAAATGTTTTAATTCTCTTAATGCATGCTCATTATTTAGGTGCTACAAAGTTATTCATGAATTGCTGTTGGTTTATCTATAATAATTTGGATGCAATCTTATTCGATCCAAGCTTTAAAGAAATACCGGATGACTTGCTTAAAGAGTTAGAAAGACAAGTCCTATTTTTCCAATATTGCAAACTGATCGACTTCGCTGAAAATTGTGAGAAGCTGAGTGAGAAGTCACTCAAATCTTGGATGGAATTGCAATCAAATTTGTTGATATTTAATTTCTTGAATAATATAAAAGAGCATAATGAAGTATTTATATCGGACAGAAGAGGTTTTGAAGGGTTTGATCCATTGATTGATATTAAGTATTCTCAACGGAAATCGAACCAGGAATCATCTAAGAAGAAAAAAGACGGTAGATCTCATTCAGTCACGTCAAGAAAAAATTCTACTATTTCGAACGTGCATGGCAATCTTGTAGATTTTAGAAAAATTGCTGCAACAAAAAATAATGAGAATGAAGAAGCTTTAGATGATTCGGAAGATGGATTTGAGGCAGTACATAAGCGAAAACAAAATTCAAAACCTGATAATACTCGATCAGCATTTGTTTTAAATTCTACTTCTCCTACGCCGCCTCCATCACAACCTCCAAGTAGAAGTTCGTCAATTGTTGATGTACCAAATATTCAGCCTACAAGAAAAACATCTTTGCCAGGTTCAGCTCCTGCCAAACACCTCATGATGACTAAGGAAACAATAAATAATCCTGGATTGAGTCTTCATTCCAACTGGGCTACTAAATCTAACGGCGGAACATTAATTGACAAGCAACCTGTTCTAGGTAAGGGTCTCGAACTTCAAACAAAAGATCAACAGAGTTTATTACAGAAGAAGAACAGCAAGCTTAAGTTTGGACCATCAGTTCGATTATCTCAAAAAGAAAGGAAGAAGATGGCGTCTCAGATCACTCCAGATAATAACAGTAATGAAGAAGTATCCAAAATATTAAACCCTTGGTCGAAAAAAGATTCAGTCGGCACAACTGTTAATAGTCCAAATGGTGTAGACTTACCAACTCTAGGTAGTCTGAGTCGCTCCTCAAATCATGAGGATAATACGAAGAGAAGAGATCCCCAAATAAAGGCTGCTGGTATTGTAAGAAGCGCTGAGAATGATTCCAGTGGTAAGGAGCAGTTACGAAAATCTGATCTTCCAAAGGTGGGTAACGCTGATAGTCAAGCAAAACAAGTCACAAATCAAATCAAATCATCGCCATATTCTTCAATGGCACTCAATGTCAATAACCCCGTCAATAAAGTATATTCTACTCCTTCTTTAACTGAAATAATGATTCACGAATCTTTAAGAATGGAGGAAGCCAAGATTAAAGAAACCGAGAGAAAAACCTTGCAGGAAATACAACAGGAGCAACAATTTGCTAAATGGTGGGAAGAAGAAGCGCTTCGAGTTCAGCGCCAAATGTCCCAAATGGAAATAAATGGACGGGACGAGTCTGGATCATCTACGAAGCATAATAGTGGAACAAATAAGACTAAAAAGACTCGAAGTACTAAACCTAAGCGATCGTCGACACGCAATAATGACTCGACGTATACACAAAACAGTAAAACACAAACTAAACATAAAAATGCCACTAAAGAGTGACCGATATTATAATATACATATTTAAATAGTCTTGTACAGAAGTCATTATACATTTAATCTTAAAAATCAACTTCGTCCGGAAACCAACCATATTCATCTAGGTCAATACGGTACGCATTCAGTACTTCCACCCCCTCATCTCTTAAAAATCTGGCCTGTCTGGTTTCATTGTCAGAATTACCCCGAGGTGATATTTTACCAGCACTCAGTATAACCCTCCACCAAGGAACCCTCTCAGGCTCTATAATATCCTCTGGGTCGGCCTCTCTGTTTAATGATTCCGCAATGAACTTCAAATGCTTAAGAGATGATCCCACGAGGCGTGAGTTTTGCGGTCTATTCAATAAATAAGCTATGTGACCTTTACAATCAAAAGTTAGTTGATCTTTAACAGCTAATAAAATTAGAATCTACGTACCATAACTTGTGACTTTACCATACGGAATCTTTTCAATTACAGCATACACGGAATGATAAAACACTTTACTCTCATCCGTTATTTTCATTATATAATTCACTCCTAATAAGAACAAAACTTCATTTAGCTCAGCTGGCTGCTGGCCAAAATAAATATTGGTCCAATGCGCATTTACAGAATCCCAAGTAAATATCAATATCTTTAATTAACTTCTATTATACACTAATTACATAAATAAACCCAGTTTATTGTATTATAAATTTAGCATGCTTATAAAGCTAATAAAGCACCGGCAGCTAAAGCAGCGAAACCAGCAGCATATTGACCGTTGGCAACAGCAGCACCTTCGTAAGTAGAAACACCAGCAGCAGTAGTGTTAGCTGGAGCAGAGGTGGAGTTGACAGCTGGAGCAGAAGAGACTGGAGCAGATGTGTGAGCTGGACAGTCAGTGACGGTGGAGTCACAGTCAGTGATGGTGACTAAGGTAGATTGGGTGTCAACTTCAGTGACAACACCAGCGTTGACGGCGGCGACAACAGCGAATAAAGCGACAGTGGAGAATTGCATTGTAAGTATATGTATTATTTAGCGAAAGACTAGTAGTTGGAAACTGTTTAGAATGATTAAAAAAAATTTGTCTGATCTACAGAGATCTCTGTGCCTATTTATATATGATTTTCATCTACGCTTGCTTACGACTAAATCAGCATTGACCAGTACCATGGTACCAATCGAGTATTACGCTTGCAAATTTTTTCATTGCAAATTCTTCTGCAATTGCAGGTCGGCTGGCATAATTTATTCGAGTCCTAGCTTAAAACGTTAGCTGACTTACCCTTTTAGGCTCGAGGCTGGAAATATTACGAAAGAATGATAACAAAAACAATTCGCGATCACCGTGAATTAAATATTTTAAGCCAGCCACGATAATTGCAACCGTCCAAAAAGACGATGATGGCCATTGTGGCTATCGCGACTGGCTTATTAAGGTCTAAAGAGGAAGTTAACTTTCTCTTTTGGCTCAATAAGCCCGCTTTATGATTTAGATTGCAACAAGATAATATGGCGATTTTTGAGGCGATCTATAATGATACGAAATTGTAATGTTATTAAAGTTTACTATATACACATATTTCACATGAATATTTATTGAATCTACACATATCAGTCATTCCTGATATCGTCTATTACCCGAGGCGTTTGATTCATCAGCTTGCAAATGTGTGGAATCAACTGCGGTTGTTGGATCAGGTCCATGATCCGCGAGTAATCTGTCTATGTCAGTATGAAGGTAATGCAATTTTATGTAGTACTCGAGTAAAGCTTGGTAGCGGTCCTCAGTTGATGTGTACGATTCTGATGAATCTTGTATCAAATCGCTGTATACGTAGCCCGTATACTGATGTATAAAGTCCTCGGTAAACTTTGGGTTATTTGAGCCTTGTCTTCGGTTATCTATGGCATCAACCGTTAACTCGCGTAGTATTCTGACCTCAAGCGCCAAATCGTCTATTTCATTCGATCTCCATTTTTCTAGCTCCTCGTATATTTTGCTGGAAAAAGACGGGAACAGCAACAATAGCATTAAGAGACTGTCTTTCCACAAGTTGTTAAACGTTTCAGCAATATCGAACCATAAACTCTCTTGCCCAAATTCATTGCGAAACACATATTCGTATGGCCTAGTTCTGTCGATAGCCGTACGAATTAATTCATTTCTAAGAATTGAAAATATATTGGTGGTAACTGTATCTGTAAAATGTAAGACCCTGGTTAACCTCAAAAGTAATTTTTCATCAATCCTTCTCCGTCTGTTGTCACGAGCATTCAAATGAAACTTTTCCTCTATCCAATTGGCAACATCATTTCCTGCAAAAACCAGCACGTAGAAAGTTCCAAATACTATTCCATATACCAATAGTTCTTTCCAGAAAGCCATGAAAAGGGCATTAATTCCCAAGATATATATGAGAAAAACAGTTCTCATTATGGTGCTCAACCATCTTCTTAAATTATTTCTCATCAAATCAGCGGCAATGTTGATTACGGTACCACCTTGATTATCTGCTAAAGGAATTCTATTGTTGCCATTTTCATTTGCTATATTATTCACTTGTGGATCTGGATTCCCGTTTCCCAAAGTATTTTGATGATCATCGTACATGAGTACGTTAACCTTCTGTATTAAGGTCTCATTATTTGTCAGCCTGAAGACAGAATTTAGCATTGCGGCACCCGCGGGGTTCAACAATACATAAGGTTGGTGTGAACCGTTGTCAACAATAATACACTGCGATGTGTTTAAAATAACTTTACGTTCTGCGTTTTCGCCAGGAACCTGCAATGCAAACTCATAATCAACAGATGCAAGATTTGTTTGATTTACCAAAACTCTTCTTCGAGGTTGATTCTGAACATTCTGGTCCCTCGCATTTTGTTGAATGACTTCAAACGTTTCACCAGTTAAATTCCATTCTACTCCTCCTTCTAAAATAATTCGTGTTGGTTCGATGGGAGAGATATTATGGGAATTATCTTCGTTCTCCGCTGCATTTCTTAAATCGTTAGTCCCATTTGGTGAAAATTCAAATCTATTGTGAGACCGTAAATCTTGCCAAAAGTCTCGGCTCAAAACTCCCCCATTCCCACTCAAACTATCTGTGACCTCAAGATTCATAGCAATTATTCCATTACTATTGTTCAAGACCTCATCATTTAACAATAGCACGTCGTAGAGTGGACTTTCATTTATTTCTGTTGTATTTCCAATTAGCTGGGCAGCATAATACAATTTAACCTGATCAAAAAAAGTTCTTCTAACGGACTGATAATCCATCCTCTCTATTATCTGTTGCTTGAACTCATGAATCGTTGTTCTGAAGTTTACTTCAAAAAGATTATTACCTTCACCTAATGCGGAAATGCTGGAATCTATTTTGATATGAAATCTCCTGTTACGACCGCTGGCCACACCATTTGATGTATTATTTGCTTGAACTTTAAATAACGTAGGTTTTAAAGGGGTGACATCTAATTGTAGAACCCTACCCAAACGCAGTTCATTGTCTGAGCATACCAAATTGTTAGATGTTGAAATCAAGTTGAACGATTCCTTATTGAAGGTTGATCCGCGCTTTGCTTTCTCCTCTACAATATAATCCTTCAAAACTCCAATGGTACAATCCAATGTTTCTCTTATCTTGAAATTCTGATCCCTTCCTTCAAGCTCTTCAAAATCAATAATTATATCAAACAATTCTTCTACTGGATCTCGCCCTGGTATACTGGGGGAATTGAAAAGTCTATAATCAATTATTAGCCTAAAACCATGAAAAATTGGAGCATCTGGCGCTTCAGGCATTTGTAACACATCACATAACCGTTCATGATCTTTCACTACTCTTTCATTATATTGTATAGTCAAAAATATGGGTTTTAAAGAATAATCTTGTGAATTCTTCCATATCAGTTGTTTGATATCTCCAACTGTATGTTCCAATGTAATATTAACAGGATAAGTCGAAATTGTTAACTTATCGGCCTCGTTAACTGCGTTAGTCTGTTCAACATCTAAATATATTGAAAACGGAATATCCATGACGATAATACAGAATCCTTCACCTATGATCACTATCTTGATCTTCGGTTTAGATATGTGGCGGTCTTACTTATAGTATCTGCTTACGTAAGTAAATTCAGCATATACTTTTTACTTCTTATTATGTACAAGTATTTAGGAGTTATATATATATAGAACCCAACAAATCAAGCTATAGCTTACTTCTTGATAGCATGATATCTCTTACCTCTAAATGCGAACATTTCTTTATTTGCTTGGAAAGTCTCAGTTGGATTCGAGTCAACTAAATCAAGTTTAGTAGATCCAAAGACGTTTTCGGTTTGATTCATTAAAATATCCATCTCATCAGCTAATTTATGAGAGCTTAACCATTCACGTTCTCTTGCCGCATCTTCAGCATGATAACCAGTGACATAAACGGCACATTTTGATTCCAATAAGCCCTTCAAAGACTTATCCCAATGGATTTCATTCGCTGTTCTAAAACCAGGGTGGAATAAGAAAAACACATCCAAATATGGATCAAATGGGAATAAATCACCGAAATCATATAATTCATGGAAATATAATGTGTGATAATGCAAGGTTATTTGTTCGTCATATCTGTTAACTAAAGCACGTCCGTGAGGTTCTTCGGTAGATGTAAAGCTCTTTGTTTGTGGATCAAAGTAGCATTCAGGACCAATGAAATGTATTTCAAACTTCGTTTCAGGGAATAAGTAACCAAATTGTTTCCAAACATAGCCTGGAAGCATAGCTTCCATCTTGGCTCCAAGAATGAATATCCTCATTGGTCTTTCCTTAAAACTAACGGCTGTTTCTGTAGTCTTGGAATATGGTGGGTATAAAGTGTAATGTAACGCCGAAAGAGATCTCAACCCTTCTAATGTTATAGTCCCTTTTGGTTGCATGCTATATGGCGCGAGTTTGTGCAATACAGAACCGATGGTAATAGGATACGTCAATACCTTAGAAGCCGCAGCCAAATTGAATTCGGTATTCATTGGGTTGAAGTCTCTGGTATAGAAAAACGAATCCCACGATGACATATTTATAGTAAAGTCTCTCTCTTGCTCACCAGGGAATACAAACTCATCAAACTTACGTCCTGATCTTAAATCGTGTTCATAAAGATTGACTTTTCTCAATAACTCGTATTTCTTTTTCGAATGATATTCTTCATCAGCTTTCCATGCTTCCTCTGAATAATGTGTTGGGATTCCCGAGTACGGGCAAACAAAGTTTACTGATTTCTTTGTTACCGGACATAACGCTCTAGTTCTTATGAATGCTGCACGAGTACGAATATCCTCATATGGCGATTCATCCCAATTATAAATCGGAGTCTCTGATATATCCGTCTTACCGCTATCCAACAGCAACAATTTCTTGAGAAAAGATATATTTCTGGTTTGAATAAACCTTGTAGGCTTTATCAAGACCGCTTGGGATATATTACTCAAATATGCCATTTGAAAATTCAATGAATGCTTACAGTACTTCAAAGATTTAACAATTATATGCCTATTTTAGTGTTTAAGGAAGCAGATATTTGGTGTAAGGTTTGATAACACCACTATTCCACTTTTTTTAATTTTTCATCTCAGTATTTAATTTACGCGGTCTTTACATATATTATTTCTATTTAAGCGTAATTTGTAGTATAGTATATCAAGTATATATATACATTCATAATTCATCATGCTGTACTTCAAGCTCAATATCAAGGTCTTCTATAGCTTGATGCAATTCATTAATATCCGTCATCCCGAGTTTGTTTGCCAATTTTTTTAAAATTACCATTTCATTTGACACTTCCTCGGTATCAGCCTCGCTAGGGATAGCTTCTAGACTTTCTGTAACTGTAACTGTAACGATATCAGTGCTGGTGCTTTCATATTGTTTATCACTTTCAGCGTTATCTTTGTTATTCTTGTCATTATTCGCACTATCAAGAGCTGAATCTTTTCCTTTCGAGAACTTCTGGAAATTCCAAGCATTATTTGGAGCATCGAATTCAGGAATTTTGACTAAGTCACCATCTTGATCAAGCATTGTTTCGGGGTTTACTAATCGTAACTTCAATTCTAATTCTTCTTTTGAACCGTCTCTAGAAACCTTTACTAACGATATAAACGAACCGTAGAAATCGTATAACTCGAACCAAAGAATGAAGCTGTCATTCCAGGAAAGTAATGATTGTCTCTTATTCTCTATATGTGGAGATAGTATTTTATTTCCAACGCTGACTTGGAGCATTTTGCCTAGTTTTTCTAGAAGGTCGACGCTTGAATGATATTGATCATTGAAAACAAGAATATGACGGAAATTGAAATACACACTAGGTGAATTAATTGGCAATTTACTTTGACCTAGGTAAAAGCCGTGTCCACATGGGCTCAAATGATAATTGTTTAATGATACTTTGTACGAATGAGGTATTGGAAATATCTTATTATCGCTTGGAATATCGTCGGTATAATAAAAAAAATCTTGGTAGCTTAACTTATCGGCCTTAACTTGATTTGTTTGATCTATTAATTTGCAGTCTATATCAACAATTTGATCTTCCACTTTATTAGGTCTGAACTCGTCCAATGAGCATAGTTTTGGGACCCCTATAACCATTTGGTAAACACAGGTTTTAATTTCTTGCTGATCTAGAATTTCTATCCTCCCTCTGTGATTGGGATCACATTTATAAATGATATCAATTGATCTGGGTTTCCGAGTTAAATCGCATATTTCCCCATCGTATAGCGTATGTTGAAGGAACCTGCTCTGTTCATTCTTTGCTGTAGCATCAGATATAATCGAACTCTCGTGAATGGTGAATTCCGACAAATCTAAATTATTGCTCGTCCATGGTGATTGATTGTCTAAATTCGTTGGTTCCTTAGATGTCCCTTTAAATCTCCCAAGCACATATATATAATCTGGATATTCAGGCTTGTGCTTGCCTGTTGCCACAAAGTGTTGAAGGTTCTCATGAAATTGCACAACTTTATCTCCATAGCAATACCCTAACGTCCAGTAGCCTCCATTCGACCCATAGGCAAATACGCAATCCTTTCTAGAAAACGATTTCTCGATCGCCTCAACACCTCTTTGTATTATTTCTGCCTCTGATTTTGGTTCATTTTGTATTTCTTTCGGCCTGGTATTCCTTTGAGCATTATCGATACTTACATTAACTGCAGTATTTGGATTTGGTACAAAGCATAGGTATTGGTTTTTGGATGACTGCCCATCGATACCTAAGATTTCAAATGATCCATTTTCTTCGATTTTGTCATTCAATTCAACGAATGTATTTGCAAAGTCCTTAGGTATATTGGCATGATAGTACCTAACATTATATTTTGGTATTGACTTGTGACCCAACTTCGAATTGTCACAGTTAGAAATATTGGCCAATGCAAGCCATATTATTCCTAGCTTACTCAATATATTGAACATTTCCAATGCTCGAGGGATATATATGGATATTGCTAGTTAAAAAAGCCAAAGTGTCTTTAACTGAGTCGCAAAATTCAACATAATTGAATTTATCGCGATTATTTCGATTCACTATTGCTTCATATATTCATTACAGAATAACCTCGTAACAACTTATATCGATATAGCTCCCATATAACTTTCATAAGAGAGAAAGAACATGTCGATATCAACCAATAATTCCACCACTTCTTTGGAGTCTGGTTCTATTCCAGGTCTTTCAACTCCGCAGGTAAATAATGGTGAATTCAATAATGCTACTTGCCAGGACTCCCAAAAATCGGTCACTACAGTGATACATAAGGATGAGTTAGAAGACCCTGATGTCAGTATAAATAATGGAAACGTGGTGTCTGTTTTCGACGTAGCTCTTGACCTAGAGGAGAAACTAAATGAAATTTTACAACAAATGGATGAAGCTGATGCAGAAATAAATGATCGAATGGATAAGGTTGCATCTAGGCTAACGGCGTTAGAAATGAAGGTATCGCAAGCAAGTTAGATGACTTTATAGGCGTTTTGTATAGTCTTTGGCTTGTTTAATGTGTGTAGCGTTTTGTGTAACTACGGACACTCATCACTTGAATGAATAATGATAGATAAAGAACTACGTAGATAGATACCTCTTGAGACGATAAGCATTTAGAGAATGGCCAAACAAAAAAGGTCTAAGAACCAGGTTAGACGGGAGAAAGCCAAGTTAAGAAAAGTAGAGAATGCTGCAGAAGATACTACTCAAAAATTGGACGAAGTAGCGTCCGATGAAAAGCACTCTGAATCTGAAGAAAGTGCTCCACCAAAACATATTGAGATAGAAAGCGATCCATTATTTACCCAATTTCAAGATGTTTTCAATAAGTTTCAAGGAGAGAACGATAATGTTGAACCAAACTCAGCGACTGAATGGGGTCAACTTCTAAATGAAAGTGATGAGAACGAAATAGAGGATGAGTCTAACGAATCTGACAGTGATGAGGAGGAAGAACCTCTTTCCAAAAGGCAATTGAGGAGGAGAAATAAAATACCTTTGGCGACGTTGAAAGCATCTGTTACGCGGCCACAGGTTGTGGAATGGTATGATGTAGATGCTCATGATCCGTATATGCTTGTGAATATCAAATCACAGCCTAACGTTGTTCACGTTCCTGGGCATTGGTCTTCCAAAAGAGAGTACTTATCGTCAAGAAGAGGAGTGGAAAAGCAACCTTTCCAACTTCCAAAGTTTATACGAGACACGGGAATCCAAGACATGAGGAATAATGATGACCTGACTTTAAAGCAACAACAGAGAGAAAGAGTTCAACCGAGAATGGGAAAATTAGATATTGATTATCAGAAGTTACACGACGCATTTTTTAAATTTCAGTCGAAGCCAAGATTATTTGGATATGGGGACATATATTTCGAAGGTAGAGAAACAACAGATGAATATGCCGATGAGATTGCAAAAATCAAGCCCGGAGTTGTCTCGAATACTTTAAGGCATGCATTGGGAATGCAAGATAATGCATTTTCTGTTCCTCCTCCTTGGCTTGAAATAATGATTAATATTGGAAAGCCGCCAGCATATGCAAATCTATTAATCCCTGGTTTAGACATGGAATATTCAAATGATGGATACAAACCTGTGAATTTCGAAAATGAACTCGACATGTATAAAGACGATGATGAAAGAAATTCTCACTGGGGAAAACTTGAAGATGTGGCTGAATCATCGGATGAAGATGATGAGAGCAATGAAAGCGACGAAGAGGCGGAGGAAAATGAAGAAATACGATACACCAACGAGGAAGATGATATTGAAGATGATTCTGGGCCTGAAAAGGTTGAAATATCAGAATTTGGCGGTATTAAATCTAGAAAAAAAGAAAATGTTGAGCCTGAATCTACCGAACCGAAGCAATTGTATACGGTTATCAAGGAGAATAAACACAATACGGGAACAGAATTGTTAGGAACAGAATTTGGTTACGACATACAGAATAGCTCTAAGCAAGATAATGGAAAAACTCATAACAATAAAGAAAAATCTACGCAACCGGATGAGCTGACATCTGAAAGTAAGAGCTTCAAATTCTAATGGAAAATACGTTCTTCATGTATAATAATTTTGTGAGTACACAAGTAACTCATAAACCTGACTATATATTATTACGTTTACAATGTAATATTTTCTAATATCTAATTTAATAGAGCTAATATATGTAACAAAAGAGATGCCTAAAATAGTAAGAATATAGCAATTAATAAACAAATAATAATTAAAAAGTTATTGCGATAAAAAAGAACATCAACTTTCTTATAGATTTTGTTTCTTTATTTTAAGGGTTAGTTGTGTAGTACGGATGGTTTTGAAATTGAAATAGTATAAAAGATGTTGGTAGATCTTGACATGCAAAGTGGAAAAAAATTTATAAATAAACTAAACGTTCATTATTTTTAAAAATCAACAGTAGGTTTAGTGTCGATAGTCTTGTCACCCTTAGCACCGAATGAAGAAATACATTTAGCCATAGTTGGAGAAGATCTGGATATGACATCGGTAAAGTAGAAGTTGTCAATTGGGTTCTTCAATGGGATACCGATTGGTGCAATGCCCTTGTTTTTATTAATTAATTCGTTGAAACCAATGTTAACAACATCAGTAGAGACTGGTTCAATAACTTCGTGTCTGACTAAATGAGGAGCGATTTCACCCAATCTCGAACGAACTTGGTACAAGTCGTCATAAGGTAATGGTGCACTCAAGTATTCAGATAAAGCTCTTAAAATCTTCCAATCTTCACGAGCTGATCCAGGTGGATTGGTGGCAGCACGGGTCAGTTGGGTTCTACCTTCAGTGTTAACGTAGGTAGCAGATTTTTCAGTGTAGGCAGAACCAGGTAAGATAACATCAGCAAATGATGCTCCTAAATCACCATGGTGACCTTGGTACACCACAAATGCATCCTTTGGAATATCCTTGTTTTTAATTTCATCAGCACCTAATAAATAGATGAACTTTGGCTTAGTTTGAGCAACCTCTTCACTCAAAGTATTGAAACCAATATCCAAAGCACCAACACGGGAAGCTTCACGGTGTAATAAGTTAACACCATTCCATTCTGGTGTGTTAAAGTTCTTGTTCTTATTAGCGAATTCACCAACAATATTGTAAATGCTTTGGGCTTCTTCAGATTCAGCGGCACCGGAACCAATAATGATTAATGGGTTCTTGGCAGAAGCCAACTTCTTACCGTATTGACCGTTTAATGCCTTTTGTAAAGCATTGACATCAGCGCCAATGTGCTCTAAATCAAAAATTGATTCGAATTCTTGACCAACATGAGCAATTTCCAAATTAGATCTTAACCAAACTTTTCTAATTCTTGAGTTCAATACTGCAGCTTCGTGTCTTGGGTTGGTACCAACCAACAAAATCTGGTCGGCATCCTCAATACCATCAATAGTAGAGTTGAATATGTAGTTAGATCTGATGTCAAGACCGTGAGCGTTAGTTCCTTGAGCAACATCTGTGGTAACATTTTCGGAACCTAATTTGTTGACTAAATCCTTCAATAAAGTCATCGATTCGACATCTGCTAAAGCACCAGCAATAGCCTTAACCTCGTTACCAGATGGATTAATCTTAGAATAAGCTGCCGCAATAGTAGACAAAGCTTCATCCCATGTGGCGTTTTCAAATCTATCACCGTTTCTAATTAAAGGAATGGTTAATCTTTGGGTCTTCAACCCATCACAAGCAAACCTCGACTTGTCACTGATCCATTCTTCGTTAACTTCGTCATTTAATCTTGGTAACACTCTCATGACCTCAATACCTCTAGCGTCAACTCTGACGTTGGAACCAACAGCATCCATAACATCGATGGTCTCGGTTCTCTTCAATTCCCATGGTCTGGCTCTGAAAGCATATGGTTTCGAGGTTAAGGCACCAACAGGACACAAGTCAATAATGTTACCGGACATCTCGGAGTTGATGTTTCTTTCGATGTAAGTACCAATTTGCAAGTCGTTACCACGACCGGTGGAACCCAATTCTGGAGCCCCAGCAATATCGTTCATGAATCTCACACATCTGGTACAATGGATACAACGGTTCATCGAGGTCTTGACAAGAGGCCCAACCGCCTTGTTTTCGACAGCTCTCTTACCCATTAACTCGGTGAATCTACCACGGTCCGAACCGTATCTCAGCGACTGTTCTTGCAAGTCACATTCTCCCCCCTGGTCACAAATAGGACAGTCCAACGGATGGTTTTCCAACAACATCTCAGTCACCCCTTCCCTGGCCTTCATGATCCTTTCCGAGTCCGTGTGGACCACCATCCCGTTTTGCACCGGCATAGCACACGATGCAATCAACTTGGGCATTCTCTCAACATCCACAAGACACATACGACAATTACCAGCAATAGCCAATTTGTCGTGGTAACAATAACGAGGAATAGTCACCCCGGCCTTGTCTGCCGCCTGAATAATCGATGATCCGGCCTCAATCGACACTGTTCTCCCATCGACGGTGATTTCAACATCCGCCATTCTTCTGGAGGAAGCACATAAATAACGTCTCGATGCTCTTAATATAGATGTTCTACCAGCCAACATGATTATACCAATAAACCTTAAAGACTGCTACTATATTAATTACTATATTAATTTACTAGAATCTTGTTCCTAAAACAACTTGTCTATAGGGTGAAATTCTAAACTACTTCTAAAGAAACACTATAAAATTTTGGCTTTGTGTCGCTTTTTTTTGCAATATTCAACCTGTAAATATTTGTCAATTATTAACACCTACTAATGATAATAATTGAACTCTGATTCGCTGAAACGATGGTCAGCAAGATTACCCGGATTTTTCATGGTTAATGCCCAGAGGCACAATAGTAGTGGTGCAACGCTAGAGGCCAGATCAGAATGCGTGGAGCATGCCGGGATAGATGTTATATCCGAAGTCTTTGTGGGACATAAACGGGACATAAATGGGACATAAATATAGAACGTAAATATGGGACATAAATACAGTATATAGATAGGATTCAGGAGAAATACGAGGTTATTTCTTTTCGTCTTCGCCTAGCAAAACGAACATGATCAAGAGGGGTGGAACCACATACATCCAGTTTTTTTGGATCCACGATTTGGGGGATTCCTCTTCAGTGGCCTCAGGATTGGTTTGGGTCTTCTCGGGTTTTGTGTTCTTGATGGGCTTGGGGTCGTAGTTGACTTTCGAGACAGCCACCTGGATGGGGGACTCAGATGGATTCTTTGACACCGATGCTGTAGACATCGAGAGGTGTGCTATATTTTTGTCGGCATTGAGGTGCACGAGCAATAATTTCGTCCCCAATGTAGATTTGGATAGTTTTGTGTATGTGAAACATTCGAGGTTGGGTAAGTCGGTGGTGCCGATGCAGTAGTTGCCGTCATCGATGGCGAGGTCATTTTGCGTGAACGAAGCGTGAGTAGTGTTTTTGTCGTAGTGGAGGGAGCCGA